TACACATATATATATTTAAAGGTTGTTTCATAAATGTGTCTGATTGAATTTGTGCTCAAACAGTCAAATCAAATCACATTTATTTATATAACACCTTCTCATACAAGTAAATGTAACTCAAAGTGCTTCACAGATACACAGTTTCAGTCAGGCGAAATGCAGTTCAAAGTGCAAAAGTACAGGTTAAAGTGCTACACCATTTGAAACAATGGTGCAAGATACAATAAGATAACAAGAGGTAGGAAAACAGTATAAAAAACAAATGTACGCATACGCACACGTACAAACTTACATGCATGCGTATACACACATACATCTATATACACAAACATACATGCCTAGACGGATATACGCATACATACACATGCACACATTCATGAGAGATAGAATCAATAAAATAGCTCCAGGATGGTTAAAAGGGTGGGGTACAGTGTGACATCTAATCAAAGGCGCGTGAAAAGAGAAATGTTTTCAGTCTGGATTTAAAACACGTAGTGGAGGGAGTATGTCTGAGATCATAAGGAAGCTTGTTCCAGCTCTCGGGGGCAAAAAAGCTAAAGGTCGCTTCGCCACGTCTACTTTTGACTCTGGGGACAGATAAAAGGCCGCTCTCTGGTGACCGTAGAGATCTAGTGGGCTTGTATGGTATTAGCATGTCTGAGATGTATTTTGAATCCATGCTATTAAGAGTCTTGTAAACTAGGAGCAGGATGTTAAAATCTATTCAATATGAAACAGGCAGTCAGTGTAGTGATTTAAGACTGGGGGAGATATGAGCAAACTTCCTGGTGTTTGTCAGGACTCTAGCAGCAGAATTTTGAATGAGTTGGAGTTGTTTGAGTGCCTGTTTGGAAAGTCCAGAGAACAGGCCATTACAATAATCTAATCTGCTGGATGGATAAGAATTTCCAGATCATGCTTGGACACCCTTAATTCTAGTTATGTTTTGTAGATGAAAATAGGCTGCTTTGGTTATTAACTTAATGTATGCATTAAAACTTAGGTCTGAGTCCAAAATGACACAGAGGTTTCTGACCTGTGAGTGCACTTTGAGCTGGACACCAACACCTGTCCTTTTTTCCTTAGCTCCAAAAATAATAGTCTCAGTTTTGTCTTTGTTTAGTTGAAAGCTTTGACAAATCCAGTTATTAATTTGTTCCATGCAATCCAGTAGGGAGTTAACTGGTGCAATGTCGTCATGGGAGAGAGATATGTAGATCTGTGTGTCGTCTTGCCTAATGGAAGCATGTATAAAATAAATAAGAGTGGGCCCAGAATTGACCCTTGAGGGACACCACACTTAATGCTTGTTCAATCAGATGTAAAGCTGCTGAGGGAAACAAAATAGTCCCTATCTTGTAAATAGGATCTGAACCACTGTAGTACTGTGTCGGATAGGCCTACCCAGTTTTCAAGTCTATCCAGGAGTATGTCATGGTCGATGGTGTCAAATACTGCACTTAGGTCCAGTAGGACAAGGACTAAAACTTTGCCTGCATCTGTGTTGAGGTGAATGTCATTTAGGACTTTGATAAGCGCGGTCTCTGTGCTATGATTAGCTCGAAATCCAGACTAAAAGCAGTCAAACAGGTTACCTTTGGTTAGAAAATCACTGAGTTGTTTATAGACAGTTTTCTCTATTATTTTACCTATAAATGGCAGACTTGAGATAGGGCGGTAGTTATTCAGTGTAGAGGAGTCAAGACCATTCTTCTTTAGTAGGGGTAGTGTAATGAAGGACTGAATGACTTTAAAACTGAGCAGTTATTTTTTTAATGGACGTTTCTTTGCTTTTCTGGCACAAGAGGGGGAATACATAACAGCAAAAGCAAAATAAACAATAACAAAACATTGGCAGGCCATAATTTCACAATGGGTACATCCCAAGGGTAAAGCATTTGTGCCATACCAGCACAGCTTAAATGGTCAAGGTTGCTGTTGCCTCAGTTTACTGTAAGTACGTACCCCTGCCATGTGAAACCACCATAAGTTTGTCCATAATACAGAGTCCATTAGTCCGTCACAGTCACAGGCTTTCTGTGTCCCTCTCAAGCCTGCATGTACAGTGTGTTCTGAGTATCAATTCAATCAATCAGTCAATTTTATTTTTAAAGCCCAATATCACAAATCACAATTTGCCACCGAGGGCTTTACAGCATAGAGTAGAGTAGAAGACTACCAACGTTTTCTTATTGCAATGTGTTTTTCAGACTGTGTGACAACCCTCTGCTGGAGTCTGGAGCCTGCACCCTGCTGGAGGCTTTACCAGAGAACCAGTCCCTGACACACCTGACCCTGATGCACACTGGGCTGGGGGACCAGGGGGCCTTGGAGCTTGCTGAGAAGCTCCAGCAGCACACAGCACTCCAGGAGCTCAATGTGGCTTATAACAACATTGGAGACAATGCTGCCCTGACTCTAGTGGATGCCTGCAGGGAACATCCCAGCCTTCATACTGTGCAGTAAGCAGCTCTTCTCTTCATCTGTGGCTGTATTCATGTAGTTTCATTTTGGGTGCCATAGACATACACACGAGTGTCACAGTCTGTCCCCCTCAAAGATCATATTAGTACATTTTTTAAATCAAGTTGTCTAACATTTTTTTGCATTCATATGGAAAATTACAGTTAAGATTGTATTACCTTAAAGCAAGCTCACATCATTAACCCCAACAAGTAAGATAAAAAGCCATAAACAGACAGGCAGTAGCTCAGTCCATAGGGACTTGGGTTGGGAACCAGAGGGTGTGTATATCCCATATGTATATCCAGGATTGGGATTTGGGGTGTTATTTTGGGTCTCCGGTGCTGCCACACGCATACAAACTGTGAAATAAGACCGTCCATGCTTTGTCAAGTGAGATACGGATTTCTGAAAGTACCCCACCTGCAGTTTCCAGATGAGCCAGTCAAATTCAGCGCAGACAATGATGTCATTGGCCGGTACATTTGAATATTTCCCACCCACCACCCCATCCCATCAGAGCATACCTACAGTGGCTCCACCCACCAGATACAGCGCTACCTTCTCAGAGATCCCAGCTGCAGAGGACAGAAGAGCGCCGTGAATTGAATTCATTTTTGAAGGCAACGTCCCAGCTACAGTTGGCAAAAAACTGTTGGTGTGTGCTAACCATTTCGAGACTGACTGTTTCTCCAACCTCGGTCAGTACAAGGCAGGATTAGTTGGGAGACTTTTTCTAAACAAGGGGTCACTTCCAACTTTGCATGGAATACCTGCAGACGAGGGACATGTAAGTATACAAATAATAAGATGTGCGTTTGTTTTGTAGATTAGCGTGAACTCGTGCGTGTTGTAGCGTGTGTTAAACGCTAGCTTCTAGTTAGTTTGCAGTCAGCATGGTTTCTCCTGCAAACCCAACAACCAGCTACACTCTCCGCCAGGTTTAAGAATTGGGAACTTGTGAAAGTAATGCATTTGAAAATGATTTCTAAACTGAAATATGTTGTGCACAAAACAGTCCAGTGCGAAACAAGTGTGTGGTCGAGACTACAAGTTCAGACGGCAAAGGTTAGCTAGCTGCTACCGTAGCTTTTGGTACATCCAGTGTTGGGTAAGGGTTACTTTAAAAGTAATCAAAGTACGTTACTGCGTTACTTTTTAAAAAAGTAACCAGTTACTTTACTGCGTTACTCCATGAGAAAAGTAACACAATTACTTTAAAAGTACTTCCAACGTTACTCCCTGAGAAAAGTAACTCAAGCACTTTTAAAATACTTTTGAGTATTCTACCTTTCCTATTGGGCAATGGACCACAGGGCACTAAGCCTACATTTTTTTGTCTCCAAAATTAAAGTTATGGACCACTTGCCCTTCACTGAGATACAATTCTCCCATCACAGACATCACTTTGACCAGTAGAAACACAAAAAGATCTGCTACCATAGACAACTGTATGACAACAACACCCCAGCATTTTTAATATTGTGAAACAGCAGAGGCACTTTGTCAACCCGCTGAGTTAACGTTACTGTCATTAGCTCCCAGCTTCATTTGAAACAAACTACATTATAGACGGTCCGTTATTTATTAATCCCTTTGTGTATTTATATATTTACTTTTTATCCACTCCGTTGTCTTTATAAAGTTAACATATTGCACCGTCATTTCAAACTCAATACTTGTTTCAAATTAAAAGCCCCTTATAACCTCGGCTAAGAGAATCCCTCCATTTTCTAAATAGGCTTTTATACTGAAACATTTGTCAGAACTTCCTGTGGAAGATACAGTAGCTTGATAGTTTACATATGGCGCTTCAAATGTAGCTCCTGCCATCTGCTGACGCTTTTAGGTGACTACAACAACATGTCGGCTGGCACATGAACAGACACAGTGACTCAAATAATAGTGAAAGTAATAAAAATAGGACAAGAATAACCCGATGACATCACACACGCCGTAAAAGACGACCGGGGATAATTGATGAGTACCAGCGTGTAGCGTGTACCAGGCATAATGCAAGTCCTGAGTCTGAAATATGTCTGTCAGCAAGTCCTACTCCACCTATTTAGACTCCACCGTAGACAACGGCAGCATTTTGTCCGACCATATAGCAAGCCACAAGCTCTGTGGCTTCTTTCAGACTGATAGGTTTAACGTTATCTCCGTTATTAGAACCAAACGACAGCCGTTGCTGTTTCGGAGCTGAAGGACCAGCGTTCTAAAAGTAACGGAAGTAACTGATGTCTTGTTTGAAAATGTAATTAAGTATTTGATTACTTTGTAACGCGTTATACCCAATTATGGGTACATCACACCACAAGTTACAGTAGTATCCAAACATTTTGTGTAATACGTTTCTGATCTTGCAAATGATTGTGAATCGACTTTAAGGAGGACCTATTTCTCCCTTTTGCTCATGTTTTACACAGCGTTATAGCTGTAGGTCATGGCTAACTGGCTAAGCTATTGTTTTGAAACGCTTTTGCTATTTGGCACACAGTAAGTCACACTGCTAGTCTCAGGAAGATGAATTTAACAATGAAATTGTGGAGAATCTAATAGACCTAACAATTTGCAGCATGTCCGTATTGACAAAAGTTTCAACATGTCTATGAGTGATGCCTCATCTGAGTAGTTAGGCTAACTGCCACTTGCTTGAGTGATTAGCCGACAGGCAGCAATCAGACCTGCATTTATTTGTCAAAATGTTTGGCTGTACTCTGTGTGATTTGATTTGATTGTGAATCGGCTTTTATCAAACGTTTTATGTCTTACACGCTTACTTAGACAGCATGCTAGTTTGGCTGATAGCGAATTGTTACTAATAAGCTCAAATGACAGCTGCTTGTATGTAGACTAACTTAGTTTGACACTTATCGTAAAATTAGGCAGATACTTATCAGCGGAGAGGGAACAGGACATGAGGACAGAGGATAGGAGGACAGCAGGATAGAGGATAGATAAACTTCACTCAGTATTGTCATGTCAGGAATATTATTTATAAATTAATGTTGCTGTTGTAAAAATTACTGTTGCTGCTCTAGAAACATTAAGGTATATTCGAAATATTCAGTTATCCTGTTCTGAATGTATTCTTTTTTAAATCAGTATATTTTCTAAAAAGTAATTATTTAGAAATGAAAAAGAAGCAATAAGAAGTATTGATAAAAGTAGTAGTCGGTAATACCGGATTTTCGCCACTTGGTGGCGCAATTGACTCATTTAAAATAAAAAATGACCATAGGACAACAGAGTGACCGTATCAAGTTATTTCTTTTATTCCTTACAAATAAATTTTGCAGCTTACTCAATCAGTGCAAACAATGGTTGCCTCCTTCGTCTGGCTCAAAGCCAAAGCGTTGCCATAGTGGCGCATTCCTTGATTTTGTCGAGACTAAATTGTCCGCCATTATCGACTCCCCGTCACTATTAAACAAACTCCAGGCTACAGTAGAGGCGCATGCGCACTCGCACCTCCTAGCTCAGTCCCCGCCCCACCCCCTCTCTCTCCTGCTTGCTGTGCGCTTGGTGAAGAGGCAGACACAGATGCTCACAGACTCGGGCTTACTATAAGCGGAGTGGACTACGTGTAAAAATGTCCGTGAAAAATTCCCGTGATGTGAAAAATACATGCCGAACAGTCTTTTGTGTGACACTGGTGCGCGGAGCAAAGTCTGCGCGGTCGTGCTTTGCGCGCACAGGGCTTGCGGATGTTCACTTTTACCGGGCGGACCTCCGCAGCGTCCGCTCCGCGTACGTTCTGCCCGAGTATGCAGTCCGGTCGGTCTCAAAAAATAAAACCCGGTCCAAGACGGAGTACCGGACCGAATTGGTATTACCGAGAACCGACCCAACCCTACTACAGCCAGATTCCAGGATGTAGGATGTCAAAAGGACCCTCCACAAATTGTCTCAGTGGGCACACAGTCTGTAGCATCTCAGAAGATAGTAGTGATCAGCACACAGCTGTACAGGGCTACTCTGACGGAGCAACCCAAGAAGCAATGGTACGTAATACAGACATTATATGTGTTTTTGTGTTTGAGATACAGTATCTGGAAATATTTTACAGTACTGAAATGATGTGTCCCAGAAGCTTCAGAATATATATTTCTGCATCACATTATCACATGCCTTTGACTTTGTTATGATGTTAGAGCAGGGGAAAAAAAGGTGAAAAAGGGAGAAACTTAAACAGAGCTGGCAGACCCCCATGACTCAACATGTAACCCTGGTGACTCTGTTGTTACAGAGGAACCTGAGCAAAAATGTATTCTTTAAGTTTCATTTTACCCTTAGAAAAGGCATTAAAACAGACCCTATATGCAGTAATTTGTAAATGATTTTATTTTTATTATCAAAATAATAACATCAGATAAAAAGTATTAAATAGTTGTGGCAACACTTGAAATATAAACAAGAAAGGTGGATTCAGGGAAGCACTTAAATTACACACAAGGAAATCAATATTTAAATTCAATAATTTACAGACTTTAGATGACCTAATGAGTCTTCCCCCATAATCCCCAGCCCAAAGGACCTGGCATCCCAGTATCAGAGAATTTCAAAGGGGGAAGTGGTTGCCTTACACGACTCTCACTTCAGCCAAGGGGCGGTTGGAGACCAAAGCAGTGACCAGCTGGATCAGGAAAACTCGTGGCGTGTCAAACACAGAACGGGATGGACACCTGAATGGAAAGAATTGCACGCTATTAGTGTTGCAGATAAAACACTGCTGTGTTTATATTTATATTTCTATCTATTGTATATTATTTATACATTTTTTTGTAGTTTTTCTTTTTTTACATGTGCTAAAAATAAAGTTCATTTGACAAAAGACTTACTTGTCATTTCTATATGTGTTTTTA